TATAGTCGCACCGGTAGTGACGTCATGGCTGTCGCCGGCCAACGAGTTGGTGTTTTTTCAATGTATGCTTCAGACACGGGTCACAACGAGGCGTTCCCCATAGTGACCCCTAGAGGACGCAGTGTCTCGTTCCCTACTCAGGGAACCATTGTTACACAAGTAACCTGAGACGTTTTACAATACGCACACGCTGCCGTGTGCAGCTCTGCTATGCTCTTTCACACGCGGTCATATCCGTGTCTCAGAGCGGCTCACAGTAAATGCTGCTGCTCCACATGAGTTTAGACCATTAACGTTACACCAATATCGTGGCATTAAAATGTAATGTTGTACAACACTGAAACACTGTATTATTATTTTTTTCGTGTACAACCGACGGACTTAACATAGGCTGAAAGTAGCAAGCTAACATTAATTGTGTAACTAAAAACTATTTAGCCTAGGCTACTAAAACGAACACAAACTTAACATGAACTGTTAAAAATTATAGCAATTTATGCAAAAAAATTTATGGGAAGCTGGCAGCCTGCACGTTTCTTACCTTGACCAACTTCTTCCATATGCATCAATTTTCTGTTCTGATCTCAACAAGTCTGGTCAAGCTAGCCTATTGAGTAGGCACCCATCAGAGGCCGCATTTTTATGATGTCATCATGTAGACTTCTTACAAAGTATTTTACAGTATTTTAAAACTACAAAAATACAAAACACTAAAGTATTTTGATACAAAATACGAAGCCATTTTCATCAACCCTATCAAATACAAATTACAAAATACTATTTTGTATTTGAAATACGTATTTGAAATACATGTATCATACATACTGCCCATCCCTGCTCACACACACACACAGACACACATTATGTAGTAGGTATAAATATTTGAAATAATTGATAGGTAACAAAATGCTTACTGCAAGTGTCCTGTTTATCATGCCATTTTTCAGGTTTAAATGTAATCATAATGTGGCATAATTGTCAAAACTGATATGTCTGTATAAATGAAGTGGTAAACTTTGGCTAAATGTGATATTAAATGTAATAATAATTTTATAATGTCTAAATGTCAATACAAAAGTAAAACCTGAGAAACGAACTATAGAAGTGAGTAGAATGACCCAATGAGTGATCCTTTGCTGCCATCTAGTGGTTATAATTGCAATTTCAGGGAATGTAGCATAGACATTGTGTTTTTAACCTTTGTAACTATTAAAGTGTCAATTTTTGTCCAATCTCCCTAAAATTTGCATGCTTTTTTAGAATCGTGTAATGCATGAGTTTACAAAGTTTCATGACATTTTGAGTTTTCTTTTAGGATATAGGCTTTTGAGTAGACTAGATCAAGACCATATTATTAAATGGCCCTGCAATAACTGTCCAAATGCGAAAGTTCAAAAGAGTCCAGAGAATTGTACTGCAGTGCTTTTATTGAGGTAGAGCAAGAAACCTAGGACTAGTGCACAAAAGTGGGTTTTAAACATAACTGAGCATATTTAATGAACGTTTTGACTAATAGCAGTGGTTCTTGAGGCAAAGTTGCACAGTATGAGGAGATCTATCAAATTATATGCATATTGTGTGGATGCGTGAAACGCCACGTGATTATAGAGGCATAAAACTCGTTAGCACCAACTAGTGGCCAATTTCTTTCAAAATTCTTACAGACCTTTAGGGCTATGAGTCGAACATGCCCACTGAGTTAATCAGCCTCTGTTAACCTTGTCTAATAGGTGCTCAAACTTCATTGGCCGATGGCGGTCATGTTTTTGGAGATATGCAAATGTTCTTATGGACACCTGTGGCTCTTTGGCACGATTTTTGGCTGTCTCAGACGAAAGATGAACAATCGTGGCTCCTAAACACTTACAGTGAGACAGGTTCAAAGACAGCCGGTTTCACGATCTTGCGACCAAAGATAGCCTACGATCATTTTCTGACAGTGTCAGAAATTCAGAATGATCATTTTGCTGTTACGATCCACTTTTAGCCAATAAAAATCCGACATTAAATCAACACGACATGGCACTAAAACATAAAACTGCTTACCTCAAGCTCGTATCCCTTCCTCTTTCGCCGCTTCCACTTTTTTTTCAGCACACATAAAAACTACAACTTTCAAAGTGTGATTCATCATGCTCTTTTTGTTTACCACTAGCGCATGCTGATGACGTTTTATTCTTCTAAAGTAATGTGCAGCCTACGGTGTCATCATCGTACAGTCCGCATGCATGTTGTACCCAAGTTTATCAGATCCATGTCGCACAATTTGATTTGCAATGATCTTATATGATTAGCCTACTAAAATCGTGCAGTGTGTCCCGGGATTAATAGCTGAGGAGTTATGAGCTATTTCATACTTTTGATTGCTATAGCGCTCGCGTCAGGCCGATTGGGGCGAGACTTGGTGACGTTGTAGACCATGTGAGTACTACCATCCCTCCAAGTTTCAAGTCTCTAAGACTTACGGTTTGGTCTGCCCGATTAAAGGTTGCATTGGCCATTCTAACAATTACACGCTTGAACCCCTAATAAACTTAGAATTCTGAGGAAAAAAGTCAGAATTGTGAATCACAAACTTGTAATTGCGAGAAAAAGAAAAAGAGAAAAAGTCACTATTAACTTTTTAAATTTTATTTCATGATGGAAATAAAAAAAAAATATATATATATATATATACCTGTATATACAGTGGGTACGGAAAGTATTCAGACCCCCTTAAATTTTTCACTCTTTGTTATATTGCAGCCATTTGCTAAA